CGCGGAGATGGTAATGCAGAAATTGGAGGGGGATGTACTCCCACTCATTAATCCGAAACTGTGGGTCCGATATGTTGATGACACTTCTGTGATCATCAAACACAATCAGGTTACAGTCGCACAGCGGGTATTGAACAACGCCATTGAAGACATCCGATTTACGATGGAAATGGAGAAGGAAAACCAACTACCTTTCCTGGGTGTATTAGTAACCAGAACCACGGAAGGGAGGATGCAAACATCAGTTTACAGAAAGTGGATACGTACGGATCACCTGAAGTGCCACAAGGTAAGCTGTGTGCGGACACTATTTGGTAGAGTGCAAACACATTGCAGTACCGCGGATGTAAAGCAGCAAGAAGCGAACCATGTATTTAAATGTTTCCAACTCAACGGATACCCGCGAAGCTTCATCGAAGGTGTCTGAACCACAACAAACCAAACAGACAGTCTACACCGACGACGGAGAGATGCGTTGTTTTACCTTATATGAAGAATATATCCGAAATGGTAGCAAGACTATTAAAACATCACCTCATCGTAGCACACAAACCACCTGCCACGTTGAGGAAAACTCTGTCGAAACCGAAAGAGAAACTGGAAGCTCATGACCAAAGTAATGTTGTATATAGACTAAGTTGTAGAGTTTACGGAAAGGACTATGTTGGCCAAACAAGTAGAAAATTATCAACACGACTGCAAGAGCACGCAAAAGGCACTATGCATCATCGCTAGTCTCAGCACACGTGGATGAAAAAGAACAGCTTTGATTGGGCCAAAGCAGAAGTCCTGGCACGAAGTGAAACAAGAAGAGAGAGAGAGTTCCTGGAAGCGTGGTTCTCAACAAAAGACACGATCAACATGCATCTCGAGATTGGCCCAGTTTACCAACCTCTCCGACGGAGAGAACTTAGAGAAATTATGAGACGGCGCTTGAATAAGAACAAATCGAGCGACGACTTCCGCCAAAGGGGAAATGGGTAGGCATCACGGGACACAGATCGAAGCCGTCACTTACGAAAAGTTACCTGTACGCCGATCACGGATCAACAATTCAACCAACGAGATGACACACCATATCTTGACGCACTGATTATGTCGCATCACATGACGGTGAAACGTTTGCAAACAAATTTCTCTGTTTGGCGAACAGATGAACGACTGAATTATCAACACGAGCGACCAGTTTTCCGAAACCTTTTACATTTCAAATGATTGGCTATTGTTTGACGTCTGAGATGTGGCTGCGCTTGATGCTCATGTTGTCAAGGTGCCTATCTGTGTATTACCCCTTACCTCGTTCATATTGTCTCCAGGAGGTAATTGATCGTTTAAGGAGGGGTCGGGTTGCACGTTCCATGTGGCCGTACTAGTGTCGAAGGGCGGTTCCATGTACTCATTGTGGATCGGACTACGGTCCAGCCACCGCCTTGTGTGCGGTTGCCTCCTGAACTACAGCGTGTTTGTGTTTGCCTGTGAAGGAGTGTGGGCCGGCTCCTTTGATGAAACGTGGCGCCCATCCCCATGCCTCCCGGTCTTATTCCTTTGGGCCTACACTAGATATGGGGTGTGTGGTTGGAGCTGTGGGTAGTGCAACGCAAGCGACCCATGCTCACTCTGTGGTCGTAGACGTCCTGTGGCTAGCCACAGTGACAGAGGAATCCGAAACCGGATGCCGTCAACCGTATATATATATATATATATATATATATATATATATATATATATATATATATATATATATATATATATATATATATATATATATATATATATATGATTGGCGGCATCCGATTTCGGATTTGCGTGTCACTGTGGCCAGCCACAGGACGGCTGCGCTTACAGAGGGACCACGGATGGCTTGCGCTGCACCACCCACAGCTACAACCACACACCCCATATCCAGTGTAAACCCGAAGGAATAAGACCGGGAGGCATGGGGATGGGAGCCACGTTTCATCAACGGAGCCGGTCTACATTCCTTCACAGGCAAACACAAGCACGCTGTATTTGGGGAATCAAGCGCACATAAGGCGGTGGCTGGACCGTAGTCCGCTCCACAATGAGTGCATGGAACCACTCTTCGAGGCTAGGACGGCCACAAAGACCGTGCACTCGTCCCATCTAGCAACGACCAACTGTCTCCTGGAGCCAGTATGGACGACGTAGTGGGTAATAGACAGGTAGGCACCTTGTCAACATGCACATCAAGCGCAGCCACACCGGGGATGTCAAGCAACAAACATTCACTTTAAACGACAAGATGAAATAAAACAAATCCAATAATGCATACAGATACAGTGGCATAACTCTTCCCTAAATTGCCATATGAAGTAAGTTGGTTAGCAACGAATCCGCGATAAGGAAAAAATGTCCACAAGTTAGTTAAAAATGCTACAAACGCAACAAAGTTACCGAAGATAAGCGCAATTAATGTAAGCAACGTGGCCAGTTAATAGAAGAGTATTCAGGTAGGCAGAACAAACCAACTAATGTGGAATGAAATTTAGCCAGCTTAAAAAGACTTAGTGTAAGTTGGTTTAGCCCAACTATGGTATATCCCAGGTGTGGCTGCGCTTGATGTGCATGTTGACAAGGTGCCTACCTGTCTATTACCCACTACCTCGTTCATACTGGCTCCAGGAGACAGTTGGTCGTTGCTGGAGGGGACGGGGTGCACGGTCTTTGTGGCCGTGCTAGGCTCGAAGAGTGGTTCCATGCACTCAGTTTGGAGCGGACTACGGTCCAGCCACCGCCTTGTGTGCGCTTGATTTCCCAAATACAGCGTGCTTGTGTTTGCTTGTGAAGGAGTGTGGGCGGCTCCGTTGATGAAACGTGGCTCCCATCCACATGCCTCCCGGTCTTATTCCTTCGGGTTTACACTGGATATGGGGTGTGTGGATGGAGCTGTGGGTGGTGCAGCGCAAGCCACCCATGGTCCCTCTGTAGGCGCAGGCTTCCTGTGGCTTGCCACAGTGACAGGCAAATCCCAATTCCGGATTACGCCAACAATATATACAGGTTACGGCTTAATCTTTTGTTTTTTGAGGTTCCGTGTTCTCATGGCGAATATAGTGTCCTCGGTCAACATCGATGCTCAGTCTTATTAGCCTTTGTTTTGCGTTTTTTATTTACCAGTTTACCTGTGACTGTTACTTTCTATCACTGCATGCACCTGCCAGTGTACTTCACTCATCCCATGGAGCCGCAAATTGGTTGCCGATGTTCAAGGACTGTTGTTACTGAACCTCGCTTATGTTTTCTGTTTGCTCGATTTGCTCGTCTTTCTGATGTGATTTTCGCCAACGTACCCTTCTAGTGTTTGAGTGAACAATCGCGAATCGCACGAAATATGCTTGACTGAAAACGTTCGCTAACCACCAGCGGTAGAGTCCCAGCCCTAACGTTTATGTTTACCTCCCATTCTCTAAGTCGAATCCCTTTATGGGGTTCTTGTGCACAACGTTTTTAGACCGTTACCACACCATTATAATGTTTTTAACTGGGCGTTCTTCGCGGCAGCTTCCAGATCATAGAGTTCTACACATGCCCGGAAAAGTATTAGACTGCAGTTTCAACCTGTTTGGTCTCGTCAGTAGTGCGCATCCATCGGCCGCTTGAGCCGCAAGTCAGCAGTTTATGCCACTGAGCTTTGTGGGACAGCGGTGCACCATCATGATTTACGAGCTAACTGCGACAAAGCGCATCTTACCCTCCTCGAATCCTGAGGAATCCGATGGATGCGCGCTACTGTCGAGGCCCAACCGGTCGAAACTGCAGTCTAGTACTTTTCCGTGCATGTGGAGAACTATCTGATTTGGAAGCTGCTGCGACGAAATTGGAAATTCCCTCATGAGTAAACCAAATGTACTGCCAACCCATTCAGTTTCTGCTTTCTTTGTTTCACTGTTCGTGTTCTCGCTACGCACTTCGTAGCTCCAGTGAACTGGGCTTTTTTGCGCTTCTGGATATTATTCCTCTTTAACAACGTATCGTAACTGCATTGTGTACCCATCTCATCCATGTCTGTGTGGCCGTTTTGTGCTACAACTACTCACATCATCGCATCGTAAGCCGCAACGAACGGCATCTTGAAAACATATAGATATTAGGCGCTTCTCGGTTCTTTAGAGTTTCTCCATGCTACTAGTTATCAACGATGCCGGACAATTTCTATCTCATGCGATGTTGAAATACTGTTTAGAGAACTGAGCACATATCTCCTGAGTACTGTCCACTGAAGGCGGTGCTGTTACTTTTCATGGTCTCATGCCCCTACATTTTATCTTTGTTCTCGGTCCTGTGTTTCTATCTAATCAAGTATTCCTTTTTGGCGACTGTTTGGTGACAGCGGCTTTTATCGTCTCAGCTTACCACTTCTTGATAGATCGTCCTAGCGCTCTTGACCTTGACCTTAGCATTTTCAGATCCTGCTCACTCCCGGTCTGCCACATGGCAATGATCTCTTGAGGTTGGACTTCAGCGTCTCAGCTCGCATGCTCTGTTTCAAGGCCATGATAATGTATGCACTGAGCCATACTGCGTTTGGTCCCCGTTCACCCGGTTTCCCTCATTCAACTGTTCATATTTTGACGCAGATGCGTGTTGTGGGTCCATCGCAAAATTTTTCTTAGAAACTAGGTAGCTCGCTAATTTGCTATCACTTATGTTCGGCTTCTTTGAATATCCTCAAGTCTATCTCGGAAAATTGCTTGCTCCAGTTACTAATCTATGGCACTTGGTGACTGCCAGTCCATTTTAGAGTAGACTTCGTGGGCTTTCGAGAATACGTTTTGCAATTCACTCCATGTTGCCATCGCGATGGCGGAGAGCTCTCCGTGATATTCGGTTTGTGTTTACCTTTATTAATTTTTGTTAACGAAGTTGTAAACCGTAGCATCGATTAGCTCAGTACACTGAGTAACCTGGTCTGCATGTCCTCAAATTGTTCGTTTTTTTTGATTTCCAAGCGCCACTGTTTTCTATCTTGCCTTACTCAGATGTGTGCCAAAAAGCTTTTCAGCTACCTCCAAGTGGCTCCTTACCCACCCGATGGACACAGGTCATACGAGACAGACACGGAGAATGCCGCTTCCCCGTTCACCGGTGGCCGTGGGAGACATGGTTCACGCCAACATGGCGATTCAGAGTCCCAGATTGCTGGTGCTGTCTGGTCCAAAGGGGCTCGCGTTCTAGCCTTAGCGGTGAAGGACGAAGACGATGCAAGGCAATCTGTAGTCTCTGCTGTCCACCTTGATTCAAACGGTGAAGTGGTCGACTTTCTACATCTTCACGGGTTAATGCAGTCTAAGCGTGTGCAAGAGGATTTCAGAAACCTAAAGGTATCTCATTAGTCGGTTATTTGGAAAATTGCTGCAACTTATTTATTCTTTCACAATAGTTTTAACAGTTAGTATCTATGCGTATGGTTTCTCCTTTAGATCTGTTTTCGTTCCTATAGATCCCGTTTGCCAACGTGTGTGCTGTTCTAGCTCATAGATTATTTCCACGTGCCTCTTATACATCAGGTCGGGATAATCTCGGCCATGTATTTCTATCTTTCTATTCCCTGTTACTCGTGTCCACCTTCGGTACTCGGCCTAGGGCTTTTTATTCTACTATCTATGATGTATCGGTTACTTCAGGGCCAAATTGTGCTTTCTGGTTCCTTTGCCTAGGAGAAAGATATGCAGCGCCTCTCAGGTTTCATGGCGAAACACAAACCCCAAGTAGTTGTTATTGGATGTGATTGCAAAAGAGCTTTATATCTACAAGAGGATATCCAGAGGCTGATTGAAGAACTCGCTTCAGAGCGTCGTCTCCCGCGTATTCATGTGGAGCTCATGGAAACGGAGTTGTCCATTGTGTTTTCTCAATCTATCCGTGCATCGGCAGACCTACCCGTTTCTTACTCTCCGCTGTTGCGCCAAGCGGTTTCCCTCGGGCGGCGTCTTCAGGATCCATTGGCCGAATTCGCTCAGCTAGTTAACCCTGAGGAAGAAATTCTGGGTGTACGCTGGCATCCATTGCAAGACGTTTTGCCGCGGGATAAATTGTTACAGGCGCTTGAAATTGAATTTATCAATCGTGTGAACGAAGTCGGCGTTGATGTCAATCGTTGTCTATCTCATCCACACACGGCGGGCGTCTTGCAGTTCGTTTCTGGCTTAGGTCCTAGAAAAAGCCTCCACATGCTCAAGGTGAGCCAGTCCCACTACCATCACCCTCTTCGTTATTAACTTTGATTTTCGTCACCCCCTTGTTAATCGTCATCGGGGTTGCTTTCTACATCCATTCTTGATGTATTCTGTGCTTGCCTTCTACGAAATCAATTTGCACGTGTGCACGCAGTAACCGCTTTTTTGATAGCTTTGTTAGACTAGTACGAGTCGTTATTGTATTCACTTCGACCGACTGCATCTGGCCACTTGTTGACGTCGATAATTTCTCTTGCATGAGCCGCCTTTGTGCTCATTTCACGACACCATTTCAATACTCCATTCGATATTTTTTCCTAGTGGCTTGTAACTAGTTTGCTTTTGGGTATGCGTCTTTCGACAACCCTGTGCGTTCTCACATTGCCGGTTTTCACATTTTTACCTCAAGCTGCTCTATCCGAGATCAGTATTTGCTGCCCATTATGCATGCCGTTGAAACCTATCTCTTTCCATGGCTTCGCACCAATTAATGTCAGTCATAGTGAAGTAGAGATTAGGCCGCAAATCAGGCGGCATTGGCTCCGCGACAGGCCTTGTCGCGCATTTTCTCGGAACCACATCATGCATCTCATTGTTAGTCTCCTCGATTTGAAGCCAGATACTGAGATAAAGTTACATCTAATCGTCGTTCTTGTGATGACCAGGTTATTCTCAAAGCTTATTTCCACTCACGACATACTTCGTACCATAAAACAGGTACAACCATATACAATTATTCTCGGGTAGTGGTTCGACAATAATGTTTGCTTGCCTTTACCACATAACTCCTTAGTTAAAGCTATATTCTGTACTGTCTCCTTTCAACAACTTGTGCTCAAGTATTGCTGCATCTACGCCCTTATGAATTTGTGCTTTATACCTTACAGTCCACAACGACACGAACAGTAGTATCTACCGTAAACTTGTACTCAGCATGTATCTGCCAATCTAGTGATAATTGGTTATTTAACGCGACATGAATCCTTGTAATCTGTGAGTTAGTTGTCTGTCTAAGCATATTGGCTGCCGGCCTATGACGCCCTTAGTATTAACAGTCTTGGTCTCACAGAAATAAGGCCACAGTTCTGTCTGCTTCCAGGTGAAGTTAAACGGCATCACTAACATATCTTCGGTGCAACTGGCAGCCTAATGTTTGATTGTGGTCGATGGCTGTTTGGTTGAGTCTGATATAGATGATTTGCATTAGATTTCTGTTTACTTTTCTCCATTCTGCCATTGGTCTTGTGAATGTAGATGTATCTTTTCATACGCTAACTTCTTCTTAAATTGATTCCTTGGCTTTCATATTAGACCGCTGGTTGTAATACTTCAGTCCCTTGAAAAGCATATCAGTTATTGCAGCAATTTGGCAGGGGCGCCCTATAACTCTCATCGGTTACCTCTGAGACAGACACCTACTGCAGCTTCAGCGCCTTGTGGTGTGTATCCTGAATCGGACTGACTCTCAAGTCCTGCGTTACCGATCCAAGTCTACGTTCCTGCCTAGGTTTAAGCGTCAAAACAGCTCCCCAGCCCACGTTCACCGCCACCTACGGTTGCATGGCGGCGAATCGTCATTTCAAAGCACGGTGGGCTGAACGGGGTAAAGTAGGTACTTATCCCCAGTTGGGTGTTCGGGACGAATGAACGTGCTTTCAACTCATCGTCAGTCAGTATCGACAAAGTTTAACCCCGGTCTATTGATCTGTTCTTTGGTCCTACGTTAAAAGGAAGTATCGGACCGTTTCCCGATCGACAGAACTGTATGAACTTATGTGTTTGTTTCACTTCCGCGTCCCAGAACCCACTATGAGTCACTTAACTGGCGAACACACAGGTCTGCTTACTGTCACGAAGCGGCCTCCACCCGTATCCTGAATGCTCATTTTTATTCCCAGATCTTATTTTTGATCTGGTGTTTCATCTGGGAATGATTTAATGCATTCTCTAATGGTGACCTATGCGTTTCACTACTCGCCCCATCCAGCTCCCCATGACATCACGATCCTGACACTAAATCTTCGATGGTGGTTAGTGCAGACAGCACTATAGTGTTTGTAGACCCGATGGAAAATTGAACTATGCTGCCAGCCTGAATTGGTTTGCCGACTAACGGAAAGTAAACAGACTATAATCAGCATAGCATGCGCCATGCTGCTGCGGCCTGAGATAGTGAGCTTCCTTCTGGGCACACTAGCTTCCTGCATAGTTACCACATTTTCATTGTCAATCTTCACATGGTTGGTTCTGTATTTCATACCACTACTTCGTGTATTTTTTAATTTTGACATTCTTATGCGCTGCCCATTTTCCTTTAACTGATTCTGCACTTCAAACCAAGAATGGTACTTGTTCGTGAAATCGCTCACTTTGCTCCCCCTCGCTTACCATCTCCTCCGTGTCCGTTGCAGCTACTGAAGCACAAAAAGGCGTTTTTGACAAATCGTATGCAATTGGTCACTTTGATCGAGTTCGGCCCCAGGGTTGTTGTAAATTGCGCCGGGTTCATCAAAATCGACACTGCTTTGGTTCGTGATTTAGATGCTGACGATGTGGAAATTCTGGACTCAACACGTGTGCATCCCGAAAGTTACGACCTCGCCAAAAAGATGGCAATTGATGCTTTGGAGTATGACGACTCAGAGGAAAGCGACCCTACTGCTGCCCTTGAAGAAATTGTACAAAGGTACGTATCTCATAATCTCTTGTCTTCGAAATACATTTGCTCCATGCACCACTTAAGTTTGCTGACTTGCATCATTACTCCCCTTTGGATCCATCAATACTACTACTTCCACTCTCACATAGACTGCTTCTAATTACTTTGTCGTGACAAGACTGGACCTTAACGTGTTGCGTTGGTTTGCATACTTCCGTGACCCATTGTGGGTGTCATTCCGACTGCCTTCAGTGCTACCCACACCAGACGGATCAATGGTTAGGGGCCAGTCTCACAGTCTTCTTCGGAGGTTGGATAGATTTTGTTGGTCCTCTTCTCTTTCAACCTGACCATGGGAGATAACAGGTTTATTGGTTATAAGCTCACATCTCGATTAACTTGGAGAACGAGTACCACCCCGTGAGTCTGCCGCTGAGAGAGCATCGCACGGTGCTCAGTGGTTTGTTACCACCCTCTTCAAGATGGGCAACCCCTGGTCAACTTGGTTCTAACCCGCCAACTCCCACCTAACTTTGACTGTGTTCGCTGGTACGTAACATGCTACGGTCGAAAGACAAACATGGATTGTTCCAAATCTTCAGATGTGTGTTACAGTGGTTTGCTTTTTGATTGATTGAACCCACAATTCATGAAGGATCACTATCAATCCAAATTACAGTGTCATCGACCGCCGCAAAATTCAGGTGATGGCTCAAATGCCGATTGGAAAACCCACGAGTTGACCACAAATGGGCCATGGAATTCGCTTCTACGTTCTGTTTGTGGCGTACAATAACTATGAATTTCGTGACATGTACGATGCTTTCATCAGATAACCGGCTTCCAGCTGTCAAGAAATCCCTTAAAAGTCCTGCCCCTACCACAGACTAGATTAGTATCTTCAGCTGGTTGCATGGCCCACGAAATGTAGGTAGTTGGTGCCATTGTGGTGAGCTATGTACTATCCCACACACGAATCCGAAACAGACCACCATGAGTGAAACGACAGCTGCAAAAAATGAGCACTCGACCTTCCGCTCACGTCTGTTTGAACAATGGCCCAGACACATCGGAGAACAGTTTGATCGGCTTTCTGTCAGAATTACTAATTGAAGCACTTGAACCTAAACGAAGTGTTAATGCCTCATCATCATCACTATACACGTCAGCTAGAGGTGGGAAACACCTCAGCTACTGTGCCGCAATACATAAATGAAAAAGGAAAATAAATACAACAGTTGCGTGCCAGCTGAGCTACCACCAATGGATAGGCATCGTTCCGGTAAGCTACCAGCCAGGTACTAGGCAAAAGGAAAAATTATTTTGTTTTACGCTACGAAATGAGATCGTAGGTGGAGGGGGAGGCTAAAAGAGGTGGGGAAGCACAAAGAAACTCACACCAGGAACGCCACTGTGGTCGGCTCCTTGCCATGTCAGCAAGTCTATTCAGCCAAACGTGTTCACCGTCTTTTGGACCCCAACCAGGGAGCCGTGACGCTCCAACCGAGGCCCGCTCAGAAGTGAGGGCCTTCATTCCCTTCGACCAAGTCATCGCTTGGCCCCTCTTCTCTTCTTCCATCCACATCCCCGGTGAGCAAACTACGCACGTCGTGGAAGTCGGTGGGCTGGTATGCGCAAAACGTGGCCCAGCCATCGGAGTCTGGTGCGTAAAATGACGGTGCCAAGCGGTTCAGTTCCTTTTTCTGTGCCATAAACAAGGCGCCGAACACGGTCGTTAGTCACGCGGTGTTCCCACCAGATGTGAGCCAAACTGCGAAGGCACCGATGGTCGAACGTAACTAGCCTCCTCATGTCCGCCGATCTTGGGGACCAGGTTTCGCAACCGTACAGTAAGGTCGAACGTACCACTGTATTGTACACTGTACCCTTCAGGACGAGAGTAATGTCGCGCCGCCGCCATAGGTGGCGAAGGTTAGCAAATCGCCCCGAGCTTTTGCCATACGGTTCGTGATCTCATCTTCGATCCAAAGGACGCTGATACAGCTTCCAAGGTAGTTGAATTTCCGAACGACTTATAACTGATCCCCACCAAGGGTCAGCACAGGAGGCGATCCGTATCAATCTTGGAGGAACGCTTTGCATTTCGATCGTGCAAAGCAAAACCCGAAGCGGCTGACAGCCAGTACTAATCTGTCCAACGCGGCTTGGCACGTCTCGGAGCTGTCACAGATGAGGGCAATGTCGTCTGCATACTCCAAGTCAGGAAGTCATTCTTCTGGGAGTTGCTCCACACCTTCCTAGTCATGTCCTGTAAATGCAATCTCCATGACTTCGTCAATAGCGAAGTTGAAGAGGAAAGGTGACAGCGGGCATCCTTGTCTCACACCGCTGGAGATATTAAAGGGTGGCGACAGCTTGCCGTAAGCCCTCACTCTGCCCGAGCTACGCGCATATAATGCTTGGATAATATTTGCATATTTCTCGGGCACACCTTTCCTGAGTAAACAATTCCAAAGGGCACATCGATCAACCGAATCGAAGGCACCTTTGATGTCGAGGAACACGACTACGGTGGGCCGCCAATATGTGTGGCGGTGCTCCAACAACTGACGCAAAGTGAAGATGTGGTGGATGCAGCCACGACCCGGACGAAACGCGGCTTGCTCCTTACGAATCTGGCTTTCACGAGCGCCAGTCAATTTGTGAAGGATTACAGAGGCAAGCAGTTAGGAGGCGATGGAGATCAGACTGATTCCTCTATGGTTGCCGCATTCCGAGCGCGAGTCTCCTTTGAAGATGGGAGCAATAACGGAGCGGCTCCAGTCGGTTGGGACAGTCTCCTGCTTCCACAGTTTCACTAGTAATTCATGTAAAGCATCAACAAGAGCAGAGCTTCCGAATTTGAAAGCAGCTGGAGGAAGATCATCTGGTCCCCCGGTTTTGTTCAACTTCAACAGTCCGATCTCACGTTCGACTTCTGAGCTAGAGGGTGGATCCAAAGGGACAGCTAACGGAGCATGGCGATCACTGTTCGGTGAAGAATCGAACAATTCTAGCCGATTAAATTGCTTTTCAAAATGCTCAACCCAACACTCCGAACGTTTTGACAAATTTTGGATAAGCTGTCGACTCTCGTCACGTATAGTTTCACTAACACCATGTCTCCTGCTGCCCGTTTACCGGATCAGACGGAATAGCTTACAATGGTTGCCAAGGACAGCGGCCACTTCCATCTCTGACGCAGGATGAGACCAAGCTTCGCGGTCTCTCTTCAGACTAGCACGGAGTTTTGCCCGGAGCTCTTTGCGAGTTTCATGGTGTTCGCTTCCAGCCGGGATATGCCGGCGAGCGTCGATAAGTTCCAGAGACCGAGAAGAGACCCAATATCCATGTTGGCTATTAGACATACCACATGAGGATTTGCTTGCTGCTAGTAAGGTCTGGTGAACATGTGACCATTGACCATCAGTTGTCTCCAGTGAGCGCTTACTCAACTCGCCTGTTAGCGTACTTCGATACGCACTCAGAACAGCTGGCTTTGTCAGTTAGCTGGTGTCAATGCGCTCACGGTGTCGTCGTGGGGGTCCGCCAAAGCGCATCCGCATGTCAGCACCTACAAGTGCATGATCGATGTCAACACATGTGCTCCAAATCGAGCGACAGTTCTGGATGCAGCCTCTCCAGCGGTAACGTATCGCAGTGTGATCGATTTGCGTCCCTAGGTGGTTCGAGGCTGGTGGGCGCCAAGTCACCCTCCAGCGGGTGCTGTATCGGAAGTTAGTGCTCGCAAGTAATAAGCGGGCATCTTCACACAAATGAAGTAACCGCTCACCGTTATTATTACGTGATTCTACACCGTGCTGACCGCCCAGATGCATTTCATCAGTGGATAACTTTCCAACTTGTGCGTTCAGATTCCCCGCCAGCACAAAAGTGTCCGTACTTCTTCTGTGGCGAAGCAGCTAGGTCAGTTGGCGGTAAAAGTCGTTCTTTACCGAATCATCACTACAGTTTGTGGGCGCGTAGGCAGCGATGATGAATAGACACCTATTAGTCCCGTGCGCCTTCGAGGCTTTGAAAGAGCAAGCCAATCGGACCGCACACATCCAGCTACTGATGGGAATCCAATCAACCAGAGCAACTTCAGCCCGGGGACTCAGGGCATTGCCAACACCAGCTTGGCCGGTGCTCGAAGCTGCATCGTCACCGGATAGGCCCAATGAGAAAACACTGCTTGCGTCACCTGAAGGGGATCGCAGAGTGAGCACAGTGCTTGAGTCTTGCCTCAACTACACTGTCGATTCGTATCGTCGCTTATGGCGTCATTAAAGAGACGAGAGCCTACCTGGTGTTGTTGTCATCCATTTTTTATGACACTGGTGACTCATCGTTGACTGATCTAACCACTATTCGATAGTATCTGCAGTGAAAAGCGAGCGCAATTGGGTAGGTTATTGTCAATCATTATTCCGATTTCTTTGAAAAGCTGTGTTAGGTATTTTGCAGAAGTCATCGAGAAGTTGGTCTTGTGACCATCACATTGAAATCACCCTAGAGAGCTATACCTTTGCGTAAGAACCAGCTTGGCTTCCACTTCTACGTATGAGGCATTACCTGTGTTCTGTGCTTTTTTCTTCTTCGCATAGGCAACATCCTGTTTGAAATACTTTATCATGTTAGTCCTTAACTCGATAGTGTTAACTTTGCTCCTTGTTGATTGCGCCTTTCTGGGGCTCTGCCTATTTTGAAAGGCCATCATCATCATCAGTATATGTTATCTGAGGATAAGATACACACCTAAGATGCTAAACATCACAGAATATAAAAATTAGAAAAAAGTGATATAACACTAGGTATCATGCATGGTGTGAGATGGTGAAAAAGAAGCGGGATGGGGAGGGACAAAGCGACTTAAAAACGCCATTGAGTTCGGCTCTTCGCCATATCAACAAGTGTATCCAACCAGACATGTTCATCGTCTTTCGGACCCTAACCAGGTAGTTGGTAGACTCCAGCTGACACCAACTTCGAAGTGAGGGTTTTCATTGACCAAGTCCTCGCTTCACTTCATCTCCTGTTCTTCCATCCACACCCCCGACGCGCACCCAAGGCACGACGCGGGAGTCGGTGTGCTGGCATGCGCAACCCGTTACCCAGTCGTCGGAGTTTGATGTGTGATATAATGGTGCTGAGCGGTTC